CTTTTTAGCAGCATCATATGACCCCTTTAACGCTACGTTGTCACCTAGTTGGAGAGACTTAATGCTAAGTAAATAAACAACAATGTCCCCGTCTTTTATTTTCGCAATGAGCTTATCATATTCGTTTGCTACTTTAGTAGGGCCCTATGATTTAAATCCAGTCATAAAAACGGAATTTACTGTATAACGCGGAATTTCATGTAATTTGTCTTATTTTTGATGAATAAATAAAAAAGAGGTCAGTACATACAGTCATGGGCAAAAATATCGGCACCCTTGGTAAATATGACCAAAGAAGGCTGTGAAAATTAATCTGCATTGTTAATCCATTTGATCTTATATTTAAAAAAATCACAAAAATCTAAACTTTCATTGGCTAATATGAAATGTAACGCCCCTTACCATAATCGCGAGCTTCATCTTTCAAAATAAATGTAAAGACAGAGCCCGAAAGGGGAACAGAGTCGCGTGACAGACACAGTGATGAAGCTGGTATGTGTTTGTGATGTGACGCCCTTGCTCTCTCTCTCTCTCTCTCTAATCATCCATCACAATGAGAAAAACCAAAGAATATATTTCTGATGTGCAGCAAACGATAATTGAGCTTCACAAATTCCCATTTCCACCATCAGGGCAATAATTAAGAATTTCCAATCAACAGAAAATGTTACAAAACTGCCTGGAAGAGGCCGTGTGTCTATATCGTCCTAATGCACGGTGAGGAGGAGAGTTTGAGTGGCTAAAGGCTCTAAGGACCACAGCTGGAGAATTGCAGAAAATAGTTGAGTCTCGGGGTCAGAAAACCTTTAAAAAAAATTGTCAAACAGCACCTACATCACCACGTGTTGTTTGGGAGGGTTTCAAGAAAAAAAATCAAGAAAAGAAAATCCATCCAAAAATCCCTAGCATATTCTGTTATCAGACATGACTGGAACTTCAAATGGGACTGGCTTCTATGGTCAGATGTAACTAAAAAAGAGCTTTTTAGCAACAAACACTCAAGATGGGTTTGGTGCACACAGGGATAAAAAGTACCCCATGTGTACAATGAAATATACTGCTGTATTTTTGATGTTGTGGGCCTATATTTCTGCTGGAGGTCCTGGACATCTTGTTTAGATACATGGCGTCTTTGATTCTATCAAATACCAACAGATAAAAATCTAAACCTGACAGCCTCTGTTAGAAATCTTATAATGGGCCATGTTTGGATCTTCCAACCGTACAATAATCCAAACACAAACCTCAAAAACAACACAAAAATGGGTCACTGAGCACAAAACCAAGCTTCTGCTATGGCCATTCCAGTCCTCTGACCTGAACCCTATAGAAAATGAGTGGGGTGAATTGAAGAGAAGAAGCACCAACATGGAGCTGGAAATCTAAAGGGTCTGGAGTGATTCTGGATGAAGGAATGGTCTCTGAGACTGTGTCTGTGAATATTAAACTGCAAAAGACTTATTTAAATACATATCCTCATGTTCTGCATGTTCATTTGATTACCAGAAAATACACAACACAGAATTTGTGAAAAAATATTATTCATTATTATTATTTATTCATTTTAGATGTTTACATTTGGAAAAGCTGTGCTTCCTGCATAAACCTGCCCCTGTTGATTTGGCAGTAACTTGCTTGCCCTACACAGTTACCTTGTTTAATTTCTTAATTCAAGTTATAAATATTTTTTGTAGCCTAATTATTTTTGTAATAATTTTTTATTGTTTTTTTAAGTTATTTATAAGTGAAGTGAAGTTTACTGTTAAGTGCACGGACTCATTTTGAATAATAAAGTTTATTGTTAAATTGTTAATACCCTGCCTCAACTACATAGGCCTATGTTTGTCACATCATTATAAGTGTTTGATCACCACATCTGAGTTATCATTGCAAAAAAAATGTGTTTATGTACATATATATATATTCTGTTTATGTAGGCTATATACTGTATTCTATATACAGTACCATTCAAAAGTTTGGACACACGAATGGGAAGTGTGTCCAAACTTTTGACTATACTGTACTATAATATAGCCTACACATAAAGAATATCGGCCGATATATCGATATCAGTCTTTTTTTACACCCTAATATCGGTATCGGCATCAGCCCCCAAAAAACCCTTATCGGTCGGGCTCTAGTAGTTATAGCATAATATAGTTGTATTTTATTTGTTTGTTTGTTGATTCAGTTTATTTTAGCTGTTCTTGGGTCCTGTGGCAGATCTTTTGTCATTCATGTGTTTTTCAGATCGTTTGGAAACAGCCAATCAACAGCTAGCCAGTCAGTGAGATTTTACTTCTTATTGCGCATCATCACAAAAATATGCTTGCATCATCACACAAATATGCTTGATACACATTTTGCTGAATCTGTTCCCTGTTAAAAATATATGTCTAGCGGCTCAACTCAAACCATTTCCTGCTTCCCTTCCTTAATGTCCTGTACCTCTTCCTCTCTTGCACTCAAATCTCTCTCTCTGTCTCTCTGGGTATAATTAAAATTCCATTATTGCTTGTACATAAAAAAAAAAAAAACAGTTTTCAAAACTGTGTTCTTGCCTTACTCCAATTCACTAGTGTAAGCCTACAGTAATGATTTATATTTTACAAATTTCAAGTTAACATTATTTGTCTTTCTTGTTATATCTATATCATGTCAGATATATGCCTTGTAGGACTTGCTTTTTTCTGCCAGTATTGATGTAGAATGACATATGTGCTCACAGGCAAGCCGTGGTGTACCATATGTAGCAAATTAGCTCAAAAGGGAAATGTATATAAATAACTACAATTAATTAAAATTAATTGCAATTGTTTATATCAGCTGCCAGTAGTACTGTACCAGAATTAATATTACAATCAACCAATCTGTTCATCCAGCGAACATTCAGTGTAGTTGCGTATCAACTCTAAGAAATGTTATTTTCATGGCCACAGAAAATAATTTCTTACAGTATTAATGCATAAGAGCATGTAATAAGATAGGATCGTAAAAGGGACATTGATTTACAAGCAGTGACAGAATCAGAAACTCAAACTGGAAAGTGAAGACATGGTTGTAGTCGAGGCCTTCCAGGCTTGGCTGGCCAGCCCCGGGACCAGAAGCGGAAGACGGGAAGGTGAAGAGAGAAAAGATGAGAGTCAAAAAGCGACTGAGAGGCGGGTCACTGATGTGAGGCCTTTTAACTTCTGTGGAGGTCACACCTCTGGGCAGTCAAAGAGCCAGTGGTGACTTACACTTTTGGAGGGAAAGTTTACGACTCTTTGTCTTCAAGCATGGTATTTTGCATATGTAACTGGATTGGGTGCTAATGCAAAAACTATTAAAGATTCTTAGAACACTAACATGTTGCATGGGTATCAACATATAATATATACTCTCATTTAGATCATCAAAATACGAACTTATAGATACCAAACATGGAATAGGTGAGGTTATATTAACTAGTGATCTATCATAACACATGCATAAAACAATATACAAAACAAAATACAATATACAAGAACAGTAATAATACACACAATGACCTAAGGATGTGTGTTCATTCACAGAATGTGAAATGGAGTGAGAGTTGCTCTGCCTGCATTCCTTTGAGTAATAAACCCAGTGATATCAGAAGATTTGTCTTTGGGTGCCATGGAACCCAAATGGAAGGCCTGTTCCCCTTTTTGAGGTGTTAGTTGCATTTCGGGGAAGGGTCCATAGACCCTCATAGTTGGCTTGTTAGTTGGGTGAGGGGTGTTAGGGATTATTTTTTGAATGTAACAAATAATTGTGTCTGATTGGTCCAAACGCTACATACCCATTTCGAACGTTGTTGTCCGTCCAATAGACAACAGTGAGCGATGTCAAAGGTACAGAACAATCAGACACGCACCTGCCAGTCAAGGCTGGGGGACAGTGGTGGCTGTTGGTGCCTCCAGGAGTGGTTGTGGTGCCATAGAGGATGCTGTCAGGCAGTGTGTTGTGGTGATGTAGACTGTAGCAAGGTGTGGATCCTCGAGCTTGTGCAGCAGGTGTCGAGATGGTGTCACCTGTCATCCTGAAGTGAGTTGGTCTGGGGCAGATGGTTGTTTGTAGGTGTTGTTAGCAGGGCCGGATTTACCTCTTATTGTGACATAGGCAAAACAAATTTTTGGTCCCCCCCTTACCTATGTAGGATCTCTGTCTTACAACGGACCCACTCACACTATGGAGCCACACACGAAACAGTTACATTCCATTGAGACAAACTGAAGTACTCCTATCCTACCAGCTGCGGTCATAAAACTCATGCAGGCCCGGAACCGGTGCTTTCGGAGGATAAGATCAATTGTGGAGAGGCTGATGGCATTTATCCCTCGAAAATTATGATTATCCTCAATCACTCTCCTTTGAATCTCTCGCAGGCGGATTACATTATTGGCAATGACCATGTTTACTCCTCTCCTCGTCTTCCTCTTCCTCCTCCTCCTCCTCCTCCAAATTGCATCATTGTAACACCACTGAACCGAAAAGAAAATCAAGTCTTTCATCATCTTATAAAATTAAAAATCAACCCACACTCTTGCTTTTATATGATTTTTAAAAATAGATACAATTTCACATCCTTCTGACCCTTCAATTTTATTCCTCCTGCTTATATATACTGCCATTTTTGCTTCTCCCACAATGAAATTTAAAAGTTGACATTTTATCTTGTTTTTTGCTGCATATCGATATCCAAGAATAAAACTCTGAACAGTAAAAATTTCATCTAACTTACCAAACAACAATGTAAGAAAATCAAATAAAGAGCACAATCTTGTACACTCCATAAAACAATGAAAAATTGTCTCCTTTTTTTCCACAAAAAGGACATAGATTACAAACATTGGGGTTAATAACATGCACAAAAGAATTAACAGCAACTGCGCCATGTAAAATTCTCCATTGGAGATCCCCCACCTTTTTTTCCAAAGGAGGTTTATAAAAAACTCCACACACAGGTTTTATACTCTGATCCAAACCTAATTTGTCTCTCCAGACAGTATCAACTCTTCCGTTTAAAACTTTCAAGTTTAAAATTTTAACACCGCTTCAGTACAATTTTTTGCTGTTAGCCTCATTAATAGTTAGATCCTCTAAATTCTTCAACAATTCCCCATCTGCACCTTTAAAATCAGGAATAATATAAACTTCTGGAAATGGATCCTTGTTATTTGGAACCACCTTTCATTAACCATAGCTTATAAGGAGAGACGTTTCTTCTACCGTAACCTTCTGTTTTAAAAGATCCAGTAATTTCCCTGCTAATCTTGTTGATCTAACTCCAATGCAAGAAGCAACCTTTTGTGAGTTATTTAACTCAGGACCCCCAGCAACTATTATCTGACACAATTTAACTTTGTATGTGCTCTGCACATTGCATTTTCAAAACCCCATGCAGCTTCACTTGAAACATCAAATCTAGCTCCAAACACAGTCAGTTCTTCTAATAACCAATATAAAGACAAACCAAAAGCCCCTCTTCTTTTCTTGAATAAGCTCCATATTCTAAAGACCCCTTTATAGAATGGAGTCAGTCCATTCAGCTGAATTTTGCTAGAGTCCATTAAAAACAAAGCAGAGTCCAGTCCCAGGCCTCCAGCTTGACTCAAAATAAAGTTAGCAACATTCCTCCAAACAAGATCTTCAGGTCCAGTTAAAAATCTTTGAATAAATTGTAAACGAAAAGTTGCTCCTCTGCTGGCCAGATGTACTAGTCCTTGTCCCCCTTCCTCCTTAGGGAGATATAGTACACTCTGCGGCACCCAGTGAAACTTAGTCCTAAAAAAAGTCCACAATGAGAGCTTGTAGTTTTGCAAGAAGTCCACTTGGTGGCTCAGTACATGCCAAGCGATGCCAAAATGTTGAAGCCACCAAATTATTGATGACTATAACACGTCCTCTAAATGACATTTTGGGCCACAGCCATTTCCATTTTTCCAGTTGTCCTTTTGTTTTTTCTAAAATACCCTCCCAGTTTTTTTGTAATATTGAATCATCTCCAAGGTATACACCTAAATATTTAAAGCCATTTTTCTTCCATTCAAGTCCAGCAGGTAAATTAGGAAGGCATTTACCTTCCCACTTTCCACATACAATAGCTTCACTCTTAGTCCAGTTTACCTTAGCTGAAGACAGTTTTCCAAAGTCATCAATTATTATTCTTAGATTATCTACCTCTTCTTGATTATTCACAATAACAATAACATCATCAGCATAAGCCGACAACTTAATTTTAAAATCACATTGTGGTATACTCCAGCCATCAATCTTTTCTCTTATTCTTACTAACTATGGTTCAATTGCTAAAGCATACAACATGCCTGTTCTGCGTTCAAATGCAAGCAATAGGCTTAAGCTTGCCACAAAGCACCGGCAAAAGTAATTACCATAAATGTGACAGGGGGAAATAGTAAGGAGATATTTGAGTTATTTACTAATAAACTAGTGTTTTCTGAGTCGATGTCGCAAGGATGAAGTTGCCGATCCTGACTCGCCATCTCCTCATTAGACGCGCCTTTAGAGAGAAGTGCATCTTTACAGATTATGATTATAATGAAGAGTTTTTGTTTTTGATTTGTTTTATTTCATTAAGTAGTAATTTAAAGCTTTCTATAGATATATTTATCATGTCTGTGAGACATGTATTCGCTGAGTTTTGGTTCATTTTTTTGAAGCGCTCCTGTTCAAGACGAGACGGCAGAAAGCACATCCTGTTTGTTTTCTTTATTTTATAAAAGCACAACGTTTTGTTGATGTTGTGAGTGCATACAAATAAAAGTAGACCCTTTACAGCTACGAATGATGTATTACTCTTACCTTTATGAGCAAAAATGACGGAGGATCCACTGAAAAAAATGCAAGTGATCGCGCTGGCGCCTCCATGTGCTGCAGAGC